GACGCCGCCGTCGAGGTCGCCGGCGACGGGAGAGGGGAACAGGAGAGGGGGAGAGGGGGGGGAGGACTTGTCCCACGCGTCTGTCTTGGTGGGATGTCTGGCGAGAGGGCCCGGAGGGAGCGGGGCTACGTGAGCGTATATCATTGGGGGCCGTGCGGCCACCGCCATGTGGGCCAGGGATAAAAGGCGACGCGCACGCTAGGATTACACGGTGTAGAGTCAGGATGATGCACTGACAGGTGGAACGGAGCTTCGTTCTCGTCCCACATGTCAGTGACGTGTGCCGAGGTGGATGGTGTCACGCCGAGACCGCGAGCGCGTCGGTGGTCTCGTCGTCGGATTCTCGGAGCGCGCGAGCCGGAGGAAGGAAGGAAGCCGGGATTCGGTGAATGGGCCCGATCGGCGTGTAGTCGACCGAAAGACGCACAACTTGAACTTTTTTTTTCCTGGCCGGGACGCACACACGCACAACTTGAACTGCTAATCGAAATACGCATTCGACTGAATTAATAACGCGTTTGGTTGCTCGCATCTTTTTTTATATATTTTTTATTGGACCTGGTTGAGCTTGTGCAAGATAAAAATTACTGCACTTTAGCCTAGATGTGACGAAACAAAAGACTCACTACTTGATTGCAGATTTGGGTAAATAAAAGTCGGGTTGTTTGGTTTCTACCTTCTCATTGAAGTGATGAGATTATCAGCACACTAGAATAGACAAAACAAACCAGAGACATATAGATAGCATAAGAATAAGTTTAACATGGTATGAAAGTTATTAAACAAGCAATCCTAAACCAAACCAGCACGACATAGTCTTAAAACTAAACCAACGCTCGTAATCAGACAACAGAGAGCTTTCTAGATGTTCACGATGAAGGCGTCGTCGTACTCTTGCACTTGATGACCACCTCAAGGCCGTCATTGTTGAAGACGATCACCTTCAGGGTGTCAGGAGTCAGTAGCTTGAAGGTGACCATGTAGCCGATCCTGATATGTTGAACGGCGGCAAAGGGGGCCAACCCTGATTAAGGGTGACCATGTCGTTGATCACCTCGACCGTGACCCTTCATGCGCATCAGGTGTTAGTTTCAGGTTGAACTCCTGAAGGACGGGGGAGTGCTTGGTGAAGCCTAGAGGCATAAGCAGGCACTCCAGCTTCGAGGCAAGGATTACTTTGCAAGGTGGGTTAGCCCTGCCTTCTCATGGTAGTGGCAAAATCATAGTTCCTCCGCTTACCGCTGGGGCCTCCTCCGCCACCATGTCATCGTCTAAGGGCATCACCACCTCCTTGCGCTTCTTAGTGGCGGCACAATCTCCATGCCCTTCTCTCCGGCTGCCACCACCTCTCTTGTCTTTCGTGTTCTCCGCGTCGATCTGCATGAACAACACGAAGTTGAAAGGATGATCAGCAATTCATTCCTATCGTCCAAATGCCTTGCCCACCCAAACGGAGACTACTTACCCACCATCGCACTCAAACCCTCTTTGTCTCTCACTATTACTCCTCTTCCACTGTCGGATTCAGGTCTTCGCAGACCCTAGATAGATTCGACTCTAGGGTGCGTGCGAAGAACTCAACCTCCCCAGTCTGCCAACTCATCGATCTCACGGCCTAGCTTGATGAACTAAAGAAGAACGAGACAAGGCAGTTTACCCAGGTTCGGGCCACCTTGTGGTGTAATACCCCACTCCTGCTTTGTGGTGGATTAGCCTCGAGGTGGGCTGAGGACGAACTAGTACAGCAAAAGAGCAACCTCAGGAGGTGTGTTCTTGTGTTTGTGTGAGTTGGTGCGGGTGTGGATTGTGTGAATGATTCGTCCCCCTCCATGGTGGTGGCTAGGCTATACTTATAGTGGCCTTGGTCCTCTTCCCCCAAAACAAAGGCGGGAAGTGATCCCACAACGGTCAAATTCGAAGGGAGACAACAAGTACATCTTATCCTGACGAAAGGTGGTCTGCGCCTGCAAAGCTTCTGGTCGAGACGTTGTGGTGGGCTCGGCGACGACCTCCGTCCTGCCGTCCTGGTGGTCTTGGTCTTGTTGCATGGAAATGGAAATCTTTGGCTGATTCCTCGGGACTTCGCGCCTGCGCTTACCTCTTTAGCACCAAAGAGGAAACCTGTTGTACTGCGCCCGCCTGGCCTTGGTCGTCATGGCTTGCGTCATCCGAACCTCACAGGGTGAGGGCTCGCATGGAAATCTCCACTCCTCAGGAGCCATCCTAAAGAGGCCACTCCTTCGGGAGGTCTTAGCGTCGTCCGCCTTGCGAGGGTCTTGTGTTGTTGGTGCTGGAGATGGGTCGTACCAGGCCGCCGATCGAGGCACGTTGTGGGCCGCGGGCAGGCAAGTCTGGGTACCTCGGTTCCCAGAATGCCGACATCCACATCTCTACTTCACCACCTTTTCATCGCCATGAACCCCATCCCCACCCCCCCTGTGAGTATTGAATGGAGGGCTTTCTGCCTCAGCTGCTCACTCGGTGACCGCACCAAGTTCGAGAAAAGCCATGGATGTGTGCTCCAACTTCACCATCATCGAGGACATGCACAAGAGGCAGACGTTGTGGTAAAGAAGGCGACGGCGAAGGAGTTGAAGGCATTGATTCCTGACCTGGTGAAAGGTGTTGTATCAGTGGACATATTTGAAGGAAATATGCCCAGAGGCAATAATAAAGTTGTTATTTATATTTTCTTATATTATGATAAATATTTATTATTCATGCTAGAATTGTATTAACCGGAAACTTGATACATGTGTGAATACATAGACAAAACAAAGTGTTCCTAGTATGCCTCGACTTGACTAGCTTGTTAATCAAAGATGGTTAAGTTTCCTAACCATAAATATGTGTTATCGTTTGATGAACAGGATGACATCATTAGGAGAATGATGTGATGGACAAGACCCATCCGTTAGCTTAGCATAATGATCGTTAAGTTTTATTGATATTGCTTTTTTTATGACTTATACATATTCCTCTGACTATGAGATTATGCAACTCCCAAATACTGCAGGAACACCTTGTGTGCTATCAAATGTCACAAAATAAATGGGTGATTATAAAGATGTTCTACAGGTGTCTCCGAAGGTGTTTGTTGGGTTGGCATAGATCAAGATTAGGATTTGTCACTCCAAGTATCGGAGAAGTATCTATGGGCCCTCTCGGTAATGCACATCACTATAAGCCTTGCAAGCAATATGACTAATGAGTTAGTTACGGGATGATGCATTACGGAACGAGTAAAGAGACTTGCTAGTAACGAGATTGAACTAGGTATGATGATACCGACGATCGAATCTCGGGTAAGTAACATACCGATGACAAAGAGAATAACGTATGTTGTTATGCGGTTTGATCGATAAAGATCTTCGTAGAATATGTAGGAGCCAATATGAGCATCCAGGTTCCGCTATTGGTTATTGACCGGGATGTGTCTCGGTCATGTCTATGTTGGGGAACGCAGTATTTCAAAAAAAATCCTACGATCACGCAAGATTTATCTAGGAGATGCATAGCAACGAGAGGGGAGAGTGTGTCTACGTACCCTCATAGACCAAAAGCGGAAGCATTTAGTAACGCGGTTGATGTAGTCGAACGTCTTCGCGATCCAACCGATCAAGTACCGAACGCGCGGCACCTCCGCGATCTGCACACGTTCAGCTTGGTGACGTCCCTCGTACTCTTGATCCAGCTAAGGCCGAGGGTGAGTTCCGTTAGCACGACGGCGTGTCGACGGTGATGATGAAGTTACCGACGCAGGGCTTCGCCTAAGCAATACGACAATATAACCGAGGTGTAAAAATGTGGAGGGGGCACTGCACACGGCTAAAGATCAACTTGTGTGTCTATGGGGTGCCCCCTCCCCCATATATAAAGAGGGGAGGAGGAGGAGGGCCAGCCACAAGGGGCGTGTCGGTGTCAAAACCTGCGGATCTCGGGTAGGGGGCCCCAAACTGTGCGTCTGAGGTTGATGGTAACAAGAGACAGGGAACACAATGTTTACCTAGGTTCAGGCCCTCTCGATGGAGGTAAAACCCTACGTCCTGCTAGATTAATATTGATGAGTATGGGGGTTACAAGAGTTGATCTACCACGAGATCGTAATGGCTAAACCCTAGAAGTATAGCCTATCTGATTATGATTGTCTTGACAGACTAAACCCTCCGGTTTATATAGACCCAGGAGGGAACTAGGGTTGTACAAAGTCGGTTACATAGAAAGGAAATAGTACATTCGGCTGCCTAGCTTGCCATCCACGCAAAGGAGAGTCCTATCCGGACACGGGAGAAAGTCTTCTACCTTGTATCTTCATGACCCAATAATCCGGCCCATGTCCAACAGGCCGGACGCCCGAGGACCCCTTAGTCCAGGACTCCCTCAGTAGCCCCCGAACCAGACTTCAATGACGAGGTGTCCGGCATGCAGATTGTCTTCGGCATTGCAAGGCGGGTTCCCCCTCCAATTACTTCAAAGCCCTTGAATGTCGCGCCCATCGGCTTCCACGCCTTCCTGACTTCAGCTTCCATGTGGCGAGCGAATACGAGAGGTCGGGGTATTTTTGCACATACCAACCTGACCATACAAGAGAG